TCCCACCGCTGGCTCACAGCTGTAAGTAAAGAGGAGATGAGCACAAATGGCTCAAAGCTCATTTGAGCAGAACATCGCTTTGACAATTGCAAGCAAAAAAAATCCAAAACCCTAAACAAGGAATCTTGACATTTTACCGAGCACTCAGACGATCTAAAAGACACGGGAATAGACGATCCGTTGTAATTGCATTTGATTGCAGCGCCACTCGCCAACACAATATACCTTGTATCATCTGCTCGTCCATAGCTCCCAACAAATACACTGGGGGGGTGGGGGGGGGTGGAAGTTGTGGGGGGCTGTTTGGTGGCAATAAGCGTGAGAAATGTTTCCCGGCAAGGGCGCCGGGAGCTGGCGGACAAAAGGAGGCGCCCGTGGGGGAGTTTGCGTCCCCGCGATTCTCAAGGGGCCGGCGTTGAGAGCCCTCGAGCTGATGTTTCGGGACACTGCCTTGGACAGCTCAGGCCTCAAGTTTGGCCTCTCTGGCGCAGAGTGTCTGGCCGTTTTAAAAGGACACAGTCGGCGGCTCGCTCCGCGTGGACAGCAAAAGCGCCTTGTGTTTGAAGAGAATTGTAGCCGCCCGCATTTGATCTTCACTGAAAGCGGACGCAACCCAAATGAGGCGGATATATTTCTGGAGTCGTTCTTCTCCCCGAAGTAAAAAAAAAAATTGTGCGCGGAATTTGAAGAACACAAAATTATTATTAGCTTTGTTGTGAATAATTATAATTATTATTATAAACACGATAATTATGCAGCTTGCCTCCTTCCCCTATCTGTTTTTACACATGCAAAATAAATATTGAACAGGTCCCATTGGCCACGAAGATTTCTGAGAGTTATTTTTTGAAGTTGCGTTGATTTAATAAAAGCGAACCGACATTCAGTTTCTGATCAGTTGTCAGGCTTGCTTAACCCATTGCGGATTGACTGCCAGATGTGTATTGCCAAGACCCGTTCTGTTAGATATTGGTCCTAGTTCGATGCGAACCTATATACAGTGAGGGCAAAAAGTATTTGATCCCCTGCTGATTTTGTACGTTTGCCCACTGACAAATAAATGATCAGTCTATAATTTTAATGGTAGGTTTATTTGAACAGTGAGAGACAGAATAACAACAAAATCCAGAAAAACGCATGTCAAAAATGTTATAAATTGATTTTCATTTTAATGAGGGAAATAAGTATTTGACCCCCTCTCAATCGGAAAGATTTCTGGCTCCCAGGTGTTTTTTATAGAGGTAACGAGCTGAGATTAAGAGCACACTCTTAAAAGGAGTGTTCCTAATCTCAGCTTGTTACCTGTATAAAAAACACCTGTCCACAGAAGCAATCAATCAATCATATTCCAAACTCTCCACCATGGCCAAAACCAAAGAGCTCTCCAAAGATGTCATGGAAAAGAGTGTAGACCTACACAAGGCTGGAATGGGCTACAAGACCATTGCCAAGCATTTGGTGAGAAGGTGACAACAGTTGGTGCGATTATTCGCAAATGGAAGAAACACAAAAGAACTGTCAATCTCCCTCGGCCTGGGGCTCCATGCAAGATCTCACCTCGTGGAGTTGCAATGATTATGAGAACGGTGAGGAATCAGCCCAGAACTACACGGGAGGATCTTGTCAATGATCTCAAGGCAGCTGGGACCATAGTCACCAAGAAAACAATTGGTAACACACTACGCCGTGAAGGACTGAAATCCTGCAGCACCCGCAAGGTTCCCCAGCTCAAGAAAGCACATATACATACCCGTCTGAAGTTTGCCAATGAACATCTGAATGATTCAGAGGACAACTGGGTGAAAGTGGTGTGGTCAGATCAGATCAAAATGGAGCTCTTTGGCATCAACTTAACTCGCCGTGTTTAGAGGAGCAGGAATGCTGCCTATGACCCCAAGAACACCATCCCCACCGTCAAACATGGAGGTGGAAACATTATGCTTTGGGGGTGTTTTTCTGCTAAGGGGACAGGACAACTTCACCGCATCAAAGGGACGATGGACGGGGCCATGTACCGTCAAATCTTGGGTGAGAACCTCCTTCCCTCAGCCAGGGCATTGAAAATGGGTCGTGGATGGGTATTCCAGCATGACAATGACCCAAAACACACGGCCAAGGCAACAAAGGAGTGGCTCAAGAAGAAGCACATTACGGTCCTGGAGTGGCCTAGCCAGTCTCCAGACCTTAATCCCATAGAAAATCTGTGGAGGGAGCTGAAGGTTCGAGTTACCAAACGTCAGCCTCGAAACCTTAATGACTTGGAGAAGATCTGCAAAGAGGAGTGGGACAAAATCCCTCCTGAGATGTGTGCAAACCTGGTGGCCAACTACAAGAAACGTCTGACCTCTGTGATTGCCAACAAGGGTTTTGCCACCAAGTACTAAGTCATGTTTGCAGAGGGGTCAAATACTTATTGCAAATCAATTTATAACATTTTTGACATGCGTTTTTCTGGATTATGTTGTTGTTATTCTGTCTCTCACTGTTCAAATTAACCTACCATTAAAATTATAGACTGATAATTTCTTTGTCAGTGGGCAAACGTACAAAATCAGCAGGGGATCAAATATTTTTTTCCCTCACTGTACGATATAACAACAGATAAATGAATAGCGTTGTTTACAGGAAGTCGTGTGTCTGATGGGATGTGTAAAAAAATACGTTTTAATCTTTTTTACATGTAAAGACAAATGTGTTGGCAGTGGGTGCATAGAAAGTGCCTATTTGTCTGAAGCAACAAATCGAGTTTGATTGAACATTGCATCATCACTCCCAGGCCACCGCTTAATTTGGTGTAAAGTAGCATTTTGACACAAAACTAGATATACTACGTATTTTAAGAGTTGTAAAAATCTACCACTATTACCTTCTAAAGAGGAAAGTGAATACATACGTGGCTTTAGCTTCTAATATTTTTTCTTGGGATAAAAAAGCATTCGTTGGCGTTTTGTTGCAGGAGCATTCAAGGCTGCAAGGGACGGGCGTATCTTGTGTTCCGCGAGGATGCGTCGATGAGTCAGTGAGTCGATGAGTCACTGAGTCGATGGGATCGATGAGTTAATGAGTCGATGGGATTGATGAGTCAATGAGTCGATGAGTCGATCATTCGATCGGTCGGCGAGTCGATGAGTCGATGAGTCGATGTCACGAGGCTCGCAGCTCCGCCAGCTCGGGGCATGCGTCGCGGGGACCGGTCCAGCGCAGCCTCCTCCCTCATCTGCTCTGAATTTCGCAGAAAAATCTGCTCCAGCAATAAATAAATAAATAAGCAATGTGCTATCATACATCACCAAGACAACTCAAGGTATTTGGGGAATTTCTTCACTTCATTGAGCTTTGAAACTCACGGCGAATTCCGAGTACAATTTCTGAAATTCGTGGACTTGAAAACAATATACAGTATTTCTACGTACTGTACACGAGTGTACACAGTGAATGAAACCAGTACCTCTTTGCGGGCAAGTCAACAGCGGCTGTCCTATGGATAGACTCGCCCCCACCCATAGAAATGTGGAATGTCCACCAGTGGCCCAAGGCTGTAAACGGTGGATGAGTCCCGCTCATTGGAGGGGGCACCGCTTTATACCGAGGAAGGTCAATCGTCTGTGTTGGTGGACAAGAGGAGTATCTGTGTTTTTTAAACACACTTTCTGAGCAAAGGCCCAAAACGTCAAGTGGCCAGCAACAAACTTAGCATTGCCACCCTGCCCAGGATTGACCCGGACACCCCAGGAGTTGGCATCTGTGATCGGGTGGCATAAATGTATTTGTACCAAGGTCTTGGTAGTGGTGCTGTGTAGAACTTCATCACAGTAGGCTGAACAGTTTTTATCACAGACGTGGTCAGGTTTGGTCTCCGGTGGTAAACGTGGCCAGCATGATCACAGATGCGATTGATGAGAGTTAGCGCGTTTCTTGAATTTAGCAGAGCAGTTGTAATATCGTGGGAACAGAGAGAACGAGAGGAGGGAATTTCAAAGTGGAGCAGTGCGAGGGAAGAGGCCCAAAGAGAGATGACCCGCAGTGCGGACGTCGAACACAGAGAGGAGGTTCGTGGATCTAGAACAGGGGTCGGCGACCAGACTAACAAGAAGGAGACATTTTTTGTTTTTTGAATTCCGTAACACAAACTCAACATTTAAAGAGCCGCAATGCACGTGGTAACTGACGTCACAAAGGCAGCTTTTAAAGAGCCGCGTGCGGCTCTGGGTCCCCAGGTTTCTGACCCCCTGATCTAGAACACGTGGGTGGAAACAGTGCCGGATTAAGCTGGTGCGGGGCGTGTGAGCATATGTTATAAAGGGGCCAAAATGTTTTAAAAAAGAACACTAATTTTAAAACAGACATTTTTAACTTGCATAATAAAGTAATTGTATTTTTTCATTTGCTATACAGCCACAGATAATACGACATATCGCTAACCTTAACCTCTTTGTTGAAGGCGGTATAGTACTATAGTAATAGAGCAAGTGCGGAATCAGTAAACCGGAATGAATAGCTTAAAAGCATTTAGCGCGGGGCCCTTGAAAGTGCGGGGAGCCCGTAGCATATGTAGTAGCTACTTTTGCTCCTAGGATAATCCGGCACTGCCTCTACACCACCACCACGACTCTACACGTGCGTTGACCGTGATGCATTTCTCAACTCCGTTGAGCAACCGGTAAACATTGGGGGATTGTCTTGAAACTCGCGGTGCTTCAGTCGAACGGGCAAACAAATGACGCGATGAGGCGTGGACCTTGCAGAGAACAACAAACTTGAGGTTGAGTGCCTCTCCACCCGCCGTCCCGGTATTGTGGGGGCACACAAGACAAAAACCCCCCTCCCCCCGTGTAGCCTTCATAGACTGTTGGGGCAAGTGCTGTTAGTGAGTAGCACCTATGAAGGTCGATACGGCGCACGAGGGGTGGGTGCTCACACACACACGCGCGTGTGTGTGTGAGCAGTAACAGCGTCAACTATTTATTGCTTTCGCACAATGAATCTGAGGAGCCGCTTCGTTGTTGCAGTGAGGTTGCGTTTATTACGATTGATAACGACAGACAACTGTTAAAAACCAAGCAAAAAGCTTTCAGTCGTAATTTTTAAAACCTTTATTTGCTTAAATGTCCTTTAAAGTTATGCCTAATATTGCGTAAAATTGCAGATATTCACAACGCTAAGAAAATCTTCAATTTGATTTCTAAATGATAAAATAAACAAACAGTCTTTTAAATTAAATAAGATATTTATTTTATATAATGCAACGGGGCAATATATTAGTGTATAGGTAAATTGAAAAAAACAAAAAACCTTAAAAAAAAACCTTTAAAAAAATAACTACGAAACTAACATTGAATTATTGTAAAGTGTTTAAAAGTAGTAAAATAATACTATGCGTTCTGAGGTTAACACCTACTTGTGAAAGTTCAAAGGTTAACTGTGCCCTCAACTCTCACTCCACGAACTCACAGGCAAAGTGACTACCAAGCCAGGCATATAAAGGACACACAGAGGGTTACTGAACACTCGTTATATACACAACACTTTATACAAACGCATTTTACAAACCGTTTACCCTGTGACACTTGCTTCAAAACGACCGCTTCGTCTTTAGTCTACCAACGTTATAAAATCCACTTTTATATCGAAAATGCTTAATTTTAAGTTGCTGCGATGCCGCATTTAAATGGAATGCTGCCCTATTAGCCCATTCATCGGCCATTTGTTTAATGCGCTCTATGCACGGCGTACCTATTGGGGATATTTGAACAATTAAACGTCATGTTGGCCATGATAATTAATTGGATAATTGCTCATTTCAAGACACGGTCTAAATCTGGAGAAACTGACAGAGCTCACAAGATCTCTCTTTAAAACGTGACCACTCCGCTTCATCGTCTGGAAGCCCTGCAGTCTAAATGCTGAACAATATGGTTTTTATCATTGCAATGTAACTCGAACTCTCTATACTCTGTAAACATGACTAGTTGGCTCAACTTGGTTTGAATCGGAGTTGTCAGCTTTCCTGTGCATTTTCATATCCCCACCAACTTGGCACTTTCGTCGTTTAGGGCTCCACAAACCTAACTCTGCTCCACAATTGAAAGTCACACCGAGGACCGCGGCGACATTTTAGCTTTTCACTTTACACAAACTCTAACAGATGATTTTTAAACCATGCACACAATCTGCATTTACTTCTTAAAATTAAGCATTCACTTTTCCACAAGGATCATCACACGGTCGCTTTGTCGAGAGTTCCTTGTTTCATATAAAGCTTGACTAATCGTTAAAACCCTACACACCCTACAGCACTTTAATAACAACACTGCGACATCAATCCAGCTCCAGGCGGTGGGACTCTGTGTGAGATTCTGCAGAATCGTACAACACGTTTCGAGTGTGAAGCGTTACTGCATTGATTCAATATTTTATATTACCGCAGTGTAGCAGTTTATCACCGTTGATAGCTTAGATACTCTAACTGACAAGGCAGCAGTGACCAAAGATTAACATCTTATCCGATGAATACGATCGAACATCGATGCTGTAGATCTTTAATTATTTTTCACCACCCTTGTTTCACCAGGAAGTCAGCCTCTTTTTAGGAGGGACACCGCTAAGTTTTCGCAGTAGGGAGCGATGTTGCTGTGTAATCCAAATTCATGAATTTGCAAGTAATTTGTCAGCAATGGGATGTTGGGCCATTATCAGTTACATTGCGGTTTTTTTGTATTCGCTATGGGAGGAAAACCCATGCAGAACAGCGGGAGAAACATCTAAACCCCACACAGAAAGGTGCTTGAGTCGGGAATCGAACACAGGCGCGTGTTTCTTTGAGGCTCGATTGTTACGACTGCGCCACCTTGCCACGCAGTCCCGTGACAATGCAGCGCATCGCATCGGAGTCTCAAATCAATCCTGTAGGACCACGCATGGCATTCAATTGCCGTAGAGTTCTTAATGAACGCTTTGCTTTTCAAACACTACGAAATGTCCTATATGGCATCATCTGTGGTAGTTTATATGTATTAAGTGGAAAATGACAGTGGTAGTCAGGACTATTACAATTAAATCACCAAGATATTTAAAGATATCTTAAACTAGCGAAATAAAATGCGTAACTTATCACATAAAAAAATCCTCAATATCTTATGTTACCCTAAAATTATATAGAACACTTAATAATCCTGTCGGATAATTTTGTAAGACTCTGGATTATTGTAAATGTTGCTATGTAAGAGGCTCTTGCCGAGGTGCATATCACAAATGCTTTCGTCCCTTCACAAGGACTGGAAATCATCATGGTTTTACTTTAAGCGTGTTCACAACTCTGGTTTCTTAAATGCAGAACCATTTTCAGCAAGGGCCCGATGAATTCAGCTGAGTCCGAGTCTACTATATTCAAATATAGGCAAGGATTTATTCATATTCTATCGAGAAATTAAAAGGTTCAATTGTTTATTTGCTAAATTAATTGACATCCTCATTCGTATAAATACCTTAAAATATTTGTTACGAAACAATTAATCACACAATAGGGCCCACTTCCATATCTGTCTCTCCACATAACGAGTTAAAGTATTTTTTACACATCCCATCAGCCACACATCCTTCTGGAAGCTATTTTTTCAGAAACATTGGTTCAATGCAAGGAAACCGTCTTGCAACCAATTACCACCACCACAAAAAGTTCTCCACTCTTATCTTTTATACGGAGGAACAGATATGGGAAGGAGTCATACCGTCTGATGATGTATTTTGTCACTTTTATTCTCCACAATGACGCGAATAATGACGTTGTGGCATGTATGAAAATATACGCGTACAATTCGGAATCGTGTTTTGTTATTTGATCAAAAAAGTTGTCCGAGGATGCCATTGGATCGACCCTGGGGTCCAGAGCTCCCGCACCGCGTCGAGACACCACCAGAAGCACTTTGACGCTCTGCGCACTCACAAATATTTCTACCGTCACCTGGCAAGCAAACGCCAGCGACAGCAAAGCGGAGGACGGCAACAGGCCTCAAAGTGACGTGGCCCAAACGCAATGAATGCCACCCACGCGCGCGCACGCGTCTCCTGCACGACCGCCTTGCCTGCAGTGGCTCGTGCTCGGCGTTTCTTGTAAAGAAAACGATGATCAAAGGGCAGATTCAAAAGTGTCGCACATTAACCAGATGAGCGCTCTATGCTGTCAGTCATTGCCAGAGAATTGGCACTCAGCGTGGAAGATTTTGGGGGTCGCATAATGTTTACTAAAACGCTCTGAAGGCAAACATAAGAAATGGATAGTTAAGAGCTACGTTTGGCATGTGGCGATGTTTGCCTGCAAGCCATGGACAATCGGGAAGGAACGCACAGCGACACCGGGGAAGGTTGAGTGCAACCGCAGCGACCGATCCAGAACCGTGGACTGCACGGTAACGCCACTGCCCGCTTTGATCACTTCGCCGGCAGCATTTCGGACATTCCCCATGAGGCTACACGTGAAGCCGTCCCGCTGGCTCACCTCGGCGTGATCGCACAAACGCCGCCGATCAAGTGCCCGCCTCCATGCGGAAGAAGAGGATCACAGACATCATCAAAACGACGTCGTCACATTGGCCGCTGAACTGCAAACCGCGATGCCCTATGATGAATACATTTTTTCCGTTAAATTCTCGTTCGAAAAGAATCTCTACTCGAGGTTTGGTGATGTCCACCGCGAGCGAAGGCAGCGGGGGCCCAGCGAGACCCCGGCTCTCTGTCCCAGTGCTGCTGCGCAGCGAGCGCTATGAGCGGCGCTGCTGCGCAGCGAGCGCTATGAGCGGCGCGGCTGCTCCAGCACTCGAAGGGGAAAGGCAAAATACGACGAGAGTTGCGGCCAGTGGCGGCGCGGTGGGAGAACGGAGCGCAGCCGCGCCCTCCCCTCGCGCCATGCCCCACCACCACCACCACCCTGCAGGGTGCGCGGTGTCTCGATGCGCCTCCTCCTCCCTGGCCGCCTCGGTTGCAGACTTAATTGGGGAGCTTTGTTTTTTCGGTTAAAAGGAAAACAGCAAATGCCACGCACACCGTAAGCTTTCAATGCAGCCATTCTGGCCCACCGTCAAAAGGCAATTTGTGAGATAAATTCAGTAAATGATTTATTTCGCGTTACTTTGCGTTGATTGTTATACTTTATGATTAGGTGATTTTTGTCTTGCTAGCTTCAGATAGCGATAGGACGACGCGCGTGAGTTCGTGAATTCTCAGGACGGCCAGCTTTATGCGTTTACCGCTACTTTGCCTTACAATAAATTCATAACGAGCAAACGTAGACTTCTAAATTACAGTGCGTTGCGTCTCTGTGTGTGTGTGCGCGCGCGCATAACTTTTATACATGTGAGCACGTTCCAAATGACACCGACGTATTTTAAAGACACCGTTCTTTAAAATGCACGCGTTGGCTGAATGCACACTCGGTGCACGTGATATAGGGCAACGTGTCTGTCCATTGCCACGTCAATTGAAAGAGATTCACCAAATTAAATAAATTCATTGTCGTCACCATCAGCCACGCTCAATCCACTGCTGGTATGAAAACCTCTCCAATCTCTCATCTCTCACGGATCCGAATCACATCCTCAGTGCGAAGGCAAATTCTAACAGGAACGGTAACAACCTGGGAGCGATCATGCAAGAGTGAGAATTAAATGACCTCCCTGGAGTAATTTACTCGTGAGAGTTGTGAATGTTACGAATTTGCAGTGAAAGTCCTTCCATTCCATATTCATTTACTGAAAGGGAATAGCGCAGGTGGTACATTGTGATCGTTATGGTGGGATCATAAACGATAACTCGTTCTTTTTTCGGATTGCCCGGAACCCATGATTTGAATATGAACTGCATTCAGTTTGCTTCAGTCGTTATTCTGTGGTGGTATTTTCGTAAATCTGCCAACATGGTGTGAACGGACATGTGTAAGCTATGCGTTGTGACTGGTGATCGTGTCAACATCCCTAATGCAAGTTGCTCAGCTCTTCCCCGTCAAGATGAAGTTGTTCACTCGAGCCGTATAACATCGCAGTCATTGCTGTTATGCTTCACAACACATTAAGCATGCAATAAAAAAAACATTGTATGCTTGCTATATATGTATATACAGGCGCATACATATATACGGGGGACGAAGGTGGGAATTATAGTTTACTAACTCGTGCACAAGGACACAGACGCGGACACGCTCCGCCGATTATGAACCTGACGCTGTTGGAACGCCGTGAAAAGTGACGGGCCCGCGGCTGCAGCTTCGCTCTCCGTCGATTTTGTTTCTCCGCGCTTCTGCGGAAGTCCCCTGGCCGAGTCAAGGCCTCGACCTCGACGCGGCTCGCTCCGTTTGTCCAGCTCGGCGAAACAAAGAGAAGCGACGCGCACGCAATCCACGTGGGCCTCCCGCACGCCACGGGTCGGACTACCGGCGGCGATCCATCACGCGACCGACGCTCGCTCTCTCTCTCTCTCTCGCGACCGCAGAGGAGCACCGGGCCGGGAGGACGGGATGGGGCGGTTCGGCTCGGCCGAGAGTCGACGGGTTGGGGGGTGTTGGTGGAGAGACGCGGTGGGAGGGGGGGGTGGAGGTGGGCCTCATAGCTTCCCGCAGCGGCCTTTCTTCTCCCTCTGCTGGAACTTCCGCACGCGGCGCGCCCACGTGTCGCGCCACTGCACCACCATGCTTGAGCGGTCGGCCAGGAGCCCTCCGGTGGCGGCGATCGCGGCCGGAGGTGGGCCCCCGCCGCCGCCGCCGCCAGCACCCCACTCGGAAGCCCCCGCCGCCCCCGCCCCCTGGTGGGCCTCGCCGCCCAGCACCAGGTACTTGCGGCCGACCTGCAGGCGCGGGCAGCGGCACGCGACGTCGCGGCTCGGCACCCAGAGCGCGAGGTCGCCGCGGCGCGCCCGGCCCTCGCCGCCGCCGCCGCCGCCGCCACTGCGGCGCCGGAACACGGCCACCACGTTCACGCTGAACTTGGTCCACTCGCCCACCGCCTCCTTCTTCAGCACGTGTACCTGGATGGCTGCGCACGCACGAACGCACGCGTGTGTGTGTGTGTGTGTGATTCGTCGTGCGGCTTTGTAGGTGTCCGTTAGAGGGGATGTTGAGTAAGAGAGAGAGCTATTGGCGGGCTGCATGATCAGTTTCAAAGCAGCGCGGGCGGTGGCCACCTCCATGCAGCTCACCTGCCCCAAGCGTCCTCAACCTGGCCATGCACCTCCTGCACCAGTGGATGATGAGTAGCAGCCCACGGTGCGGTGACCAATCTCAAACCTGTATGTCATCTCTAAGTAAGTAATATGCAGGACGTTTTCATAATTGAGTTGGTTGGTCAATACCTGTTACATTGTACGCGTGCTTATACTGCTTCAGTTACAATTGATAACTGGCGTTTTGTAAATGTGACCGCCCTTTTTGTTCCAATGCAAGTGTTTGTGCCAAAAAGATGAAACTTAAAAACATTCAGATTTCCCCCGTGACTCTTTGGGCCAATGTAATACGTAACTTATTTCCATATCCAAGGTGCTTTAAAAAGATGTTAACACTTCCGAGAATTTGCAACAATACCACACGAAATGCGCTGCCTCCGGGCTCTGGAGATCACCTGGAGAAGATTCCAGGCCACGTGTTCACAATGATGGCGAACAAGTGGGGACTCTGACTTGTTGAAGCTATTAACATACATTTGTTATCAAGTTACAGTGTATTATCCGTTCATTTTCCATTACAAACGATATTCCCATATAAGTGTAAAAACATTTTTAAGCACCCTGTATATGTAAAAAAAGTTGTGCACAGGAATGTGTTGTTTTGACATTGTAAATGCATAAACAGCACAAGAGAAGGAAAACATATCCAGAAGCTCCGGAGACGGATGCCTCAGCATCAGCGTCCTTGCCAAGAAGTCCCACGGGCGTGGCTTCACTTTTACTGGGCGCATTCCGGTCGTATGAAATCAGAAGAACAAAATCCATTTCATAGCCACGTGGTTACGGGCAGAGAGCAGAATGAGTATACCACACGTGCCGCCTGAGGTTCGCACAAACAGCCCCGCCGCTGTGAACGTGCGCCACCACGATCTGGCATATTTATCGGTGACCGCCATCACGAAGCGGTGGCGGTGGTGGCACGGACACGGCGCTGCTGCCCGCGGGGGGTAAGTTGAGTGGGCAATTTTTTTTATTGATTTATTGACAAATGAGTGTAGTCTGCGTTTTCTATGACTTCAAATACACCACCAGTGAGACGACATTATCTGTCGAATGAACTCGTTAGGTGTTATTGTGAAGCATTATGGGTAACCGCGTGGATACGCTGAGCTGGATATAAAAAAAATAAAGTTTTTTGAGTCCGACAGCCGATTGGCTGCTCGAAACCAACATTGTCCAACAACGTTTATTTCTATTCTTGGGCCTTTTGGTAAAGTCACGCAGATAGGTTCAAAGAAAAAAGAAAATTACAAAAAACTACGACGTTTAGATCGCAACACAAGCAATCGTCATCGGGAGAAAAAAATAGCGGGAAAGCTACTGAGGCAGGATGTTTTAAAGGTTTGAAATGGGTGTAGCCCAAGGGTCATAAGCGACGTGGGCGGGGCTAGTGACGTTAAAGTGAGAAATTTGCATGTCAATGTAAGGTCGGAGAGCTACAACTGCCACCTCCGCAGCTTCGTCGTAGTGGAGGTAGCTCTCTGATCGTACATTGACATGCAAATTTCTCACTTTAACGTCACTAGCCCCGCCCACGTCGCTTATGACCCTTGGGCTACACCCATTTCAAACCTTCATATCACCCTGCCTCAGTAGCTTTCCCGCTCTTTTTTCTCCTGATGACGATTGCTTGTGTTGCGATCGAAACGTCGTAGTTTTTGTTATTTTCTTTGAACCTATCTACGTGACTTTACAGAAAGACCCAAGAATATGAATTCCCGCAGTCACAAAAGCTTTAAGTCCAGATTTAATGTTTATTTAAGCAAGCTAACTCCGGACCAGTTTCAACCTAAATGGGTCTCCGCAGCAGAATCAGCCTTGTGAAACTCACGCTTCTGCTTTACGGGATGTCATGGCAAGAACACTCCCGTCTATAATATAGGGCCTTGTTCAATGGAAACAGACGATTGGGGAGACTGCACATCAACCCATCTGCACGCACACCGAATATTTCCACCAGGAGCAGGTCCACGCATGGGCACAGAGGAGGGAACTCACATGGATATCCCTCAGCAGGCTTCCACTCGAGTACGCACGTGCACTCTCTAACAGGTGCACACGCGTGTTTACCCTTGCACACGCGTGCGCACGGGAAAACACGCGCGCTCACTCGTAGCATGAAGCGAATGCAGGCGCAGCACACGCACGCACACAGGATGCACGCACACAGGATGCACACACACACACATACATGCACACACGCGCATGCACACGCATGCACAGGAACGCACACACATGCACGCACACACACTTACACACAAGCACGCACATACACATGCACGCACACGCGCACACAAACGCACACGTGCGCACGGCGGCAGGAGCAGCAGCTCATAAGGGAACGAGCTGAAGAGACGGCGTTAAACAAATGAACCAAATAAATTAAACATTTGTCATAGAAGCCCCAGGGGCCACTAAGTCCAATAGCGCTGCCAGAGCTGGCACTACAAGAGTGAAAACAAGCGTTTAAAATCTCAGATGACGTTTTGGAGAAGAGGAAATTAAATTTCTCAGCCAGACAAGCACCCAATGTACAATAACCGTCTCATTTGCCACTGCCATGGTGAATATAAACAAAAATCAAAGTGTTTAATCTCTGCCTGAGGCCTGCCCCTCCGGAGCTCATGACTGATCTTGGCAGGCTACGGCCTCTTTGAAGATGTCTGAGTGGAGTGGTGGTGCAACACTTAGCGCTACGCATTGAATTCCGGTGGCCCGAGTTTGTTTCCCGAGCACGGCTAACATCAGTGGCGAGTGATATCTGAAGCAGCACAGGGCCCCGTAGGTTACACAAAGTGCTCTTGCCAATAACATCTGGCTTACTTTGACGAACTGTGGAACAGGACCTGGCCCCTTGATCGTCCACCTGGGTGTGCTGCTGAAGGGCCCAGTGGTGCTGGAGCGTGCTTGGCATGGGCCCCTACTGCAAGGAGTGAAACGGGGCCCAATGTCCACTGCACCCCCCAACCCCCGACCCTGCCCTCGTGGAGCATGCTGCCCGGGCCCCTTTGGCCCTTAGGCCCCCTGTGTCGTCGCACTGCTGGTGCACGTCTCGCGAGCTACACCGCCGCTGCAATAGCATCCAGCCGAGTCCTCACCGTAGTCTTTCTTGCAGTACTTCTTGATGTTGAGCTTCTGCTTGCTCTTTGGAACTTTGCAGTAGGCCTCGCAATCTGCACGCACGCAGCCAGCGAAGAGAGAGGAACGCCAGAGGACACGAGCGTGAACGTTTATGCGCGAGACGCGTTCTCCGGGGAACACAGACAGCGAGCAGTTCACCACCAGAGCGCAAATCAACTTTGTTCGCTCGTACCTCTGTGTCACGATCTTCATCACAATGTGAGAACAAAAGAGTTGCGTCTATATTGTCATAATTTGCATCAATGCTCAGGTGTTTATTTGATTCATTTTAACGATGTAGTCAAATACATCCATAAGGTTTCTTTATTATTCCTAAAGCTTTTTATTGTTAGATTACAAAAACAAGATGTTGGAGGATGTTTATAGGTGCGGCTACATCCTTTGGGTAATTATTCCAGGTTCCGTGAGTTATAAGTGAGAACTGCAATGGTCATGTGACTGTTTACACTGGGTTGCACAAAAGTAATTTGCCGCGAATTGGTAACATTTATCACGCCGTGCCCAACGTAAGGGTTAATGATAAATGATATGCAATACAACAGACAAATGTAACTTTGAAATCGAGTGCCAAAAATATCTAAACTGAAGCCATATGCGTCATTCCTGTACCAATAATGTTTCATTTTAAACAACAAGATACACAATAAAGAAGCAGACAATCCAGCTCCTTCCCATCTATAAGTAAACGTATTTTGTTCCACATCTCCTCAGTCACATGGCCTTCTGGGAGTGCTCATTTTACCAGCAGCATCAGCTCAACGCAAGCAACCTCTAGACTCGCGTTTACCTTAAATGTCTCATCAGCAGTCAGGCTTTGTTTGAACCAAAGCTTGTGAACTGCCAGATGCTAAGAGCCAAGGACCTTTTCTGTAAGATATGGCTCCTAATTTCAACACGAAACTATATAATACGCAACATAAAATAAGCAAAAATGCAAGTAACAAAATACGTTATATTTTCCAAAGATTATTTCAGGTAAAAAAATATACAACTCAGAAAATATATATAACAATGTTTTCAAGGTAATTCTGTTCATGTCATTCAATACTTTACCATTTGTTTTAAGTCACATTTGTCAATAAACTTTAAAGTCTGCTTTCAGATCGAGTCTGCATTTAAATAACCTGAGCACCACTCCCCAAACATCCATTCACACCGACGGCTCCTACTTTTCCTCTCCTGATTTAGTAGCAACATTTTTGTTTTCAACTCAAACCCCCCATTCATCCAAAAGAACAGACACGGCGTGCTACATTTGAGCGGGCACATTTTATTTTTGTATTCATTATTATGGCGCTGGTATTTTTTTGTTCGAGTTTGCGTTAAAGGCCGGTTTGCAGGCCGGCGGTTATTTACATACTTTGGTGACATCACCCACATGGGAAAGAGCCGCGGCGGAGGCCGCGAGCGTGTCAGAGTGGCTGACCCCTCTGGGGCAGCTGCCCCCCCCTCCCCACCCACCCCCCTGTGTTTGTGCTCTGCCGTGCCCCGCTCAGTGTCATGGGAACGCTCCCAAAGCATTCAAAGGGGTCCCGTACGCACACACAACAAAGACAAAGATCCCCCGTATAGCCTGAACAGACCGTTGGGGGGGGGGGGGGGAGGGAAAATGCTGCTAGCGAGCGCGGCGGCTCAAGAGGCTGGTGCGGACAGCGTCACGCCCGTCCGCCTTTGTCTCCCCGGTGTCGATGTTTACACACGCAGCCCCACGCAATAATTTTTTTTTATACTGGGTTGACCCAGCCGAGGCCCAGAAGCGGTTTTCGTCACGGATTCTTGGCCGTGAGAGCGAATCGAACTCGAGCCTCCTGTTCGTAGCTCAGTGCGCGAACCACGACACCACTGACCCCCCCACACACACACAGGCTCAGCTTGCCAGCGGCGTGGTGTTCTGTCGCTCTACGTGCCCAGGTGCCGTCACCCAAGTCCTGTTACCGGCAACGGTCAACGTGCAGTGGCGAATATGTAAACCGCTCGTAGAACATCTCCTAGGTCAACCGAGTCTTTAAAACGGTGCTAGAGGCTGCGTGCCTAGGTATCGACACTTGGAAGACAAAGGTGGCCTGGCGTGCTCGCTAGCAGCATTCGCCTCAACGATCTGCATGGCCATCAGAGAGACGTTTGACTGCGTACGCTGTACACTCACTCTCACAGCCTGCCACAAGAGTCTGCGATGGAGGGACGTCTTCATTTCTGCACGGAATATACGCACAAGTGCTGTTTGTACAAAATGCAGTCAAGAAGTTTCAGCGCAATTTTGAATCTGTATACAACTATTTCATTATTTTAATTGCCACAAAATATAACGGCTCCTAGCTGCACTAATTGTTTTCACTATTTGTACACAACTATTATTTTCAGCTGAAAATACACCTTCTTTAGAAGGATAATGGTAGGAGTGGCAGCAGGAAATATAACGCGTCTGAATGGACACCAACTAAGCAGATGAAGTGATGAAATCATTGAATGCACAGGCGCAGGTTGGATTGCCGTTGTGCAACATCGTAAGAGGTGGTGGTGGCTTGGGGTGGCCTTCATCCAGCAGCGGATTGATCATGGCCGATGATGACCGATGATGTGATGATGAAGTTACGCCATAGTTTAACTGCATATGACTCTGATTAATTATCCAATGTATAGGTAAACATTAACAGAACGTCTCATTGTCTTTCGTAAATAAAACCGCTGCTAAAGTTGCGACTCCCAGACAATGGGCAAACGACAACTGTAAAATCCTTTGCCCGGTGTTTCCCAAGCAGTGGCTTACGGCTAAGCCCCGGGATTTGAGGACGCATCAAGGAGGAAAATTCGTTACTAATTAGGCGTGTAACGAGATTAAGAGAAGCCCCCCCCCCCCCCCCCCCCGTTTAATTGTAGCAGCTCTCCGCTGGCACGAGCGGTGACAGTGACGCGGCTCTCGGATGAGACCTGGGTGCCCCCCTTCGCCCTACCCACCGCCACCGCCCCCTCTACACCCAGCCATCCCCTGCTGACATGCCGGCAACTTAAACCAACCCCCGGGGACAATCCCCCACCACCCCCCCACCCACCCCACCGAACGTTCACGGGTTAATTGGACAAATTAACCTTTACAAATTGGCTGTGCCGTACGACCTGGGGGGGCCTATTTTCAGAGCGGCTTACTGTGGCGGGACGAGCAGAAAGGGAGCGCACGACGGGGCGCGCAAGGGGGAGGGAGGGGGCGGTGTCGTGAATTTACAGATGAATGACAGAGGAAGCAGCCGGACAAAGGAACCGCGAGCCCGTGGCCGGCCGGGGTTTCTCGTCCGTGGAAATTCCCTCCTTTACTCGTGACCCGGCTCACTCAGCCGCGTCTCGCGGCGTGCAGGCCCAGCTCTGGGTGCAAACGCCGCCTGGCACAAATGCGGTATTCGGTTGATTATTTTTGCCAACGCTGAAAAGTGTCCAAAGAAGTGTGGAGCGACGCATACTTTGATTTCTAAAATCTGAAACTAACAAGGGGGTGCATTGTGTAAGAATGGTTTATTGAATGTGATGTAACATTTTATAGAACATCTACACGAGCAATGGCCTATCTAGCAACAAACAGCACGTGACTCTACAACATTGCTGTGACAAGGCTGCAAGCCGATGTCTCATCTCAAAATGTGCATCTGGGTAAAATAAAGTTAAATAAAAAAACGGTCAAAATTAAAGCTATGCGCCTGCAGGGGTCAAATAGCGATTGTGAGCCCATCTCTCAAAGTGGACTTCCAAATGCCACGTTCTGCAAGAAGCCATCAACACGTGCTCACTCTTGACAAAAAAATTTAACATCTCCGTAAGTAGGCGACTTAGCAGAGAATGGCGTGGGTCGCGTCACGTGACGGGGGAAGGAATCTCGCGACACCGAGACTCGGTGTGCGCGCGCCGTGAAACGCCCCCCGCGCGCGCCGGGGAAAAACGCGCGTGAGAGAGAATCTGTGCGCTCGTGACAGGTGCTGATAACCCAGTGTCACCTGTTAGGGAGCTACGGCCAAACAAAACGAGAGAGCGAGGGAGGAGAGGAGGAGGGCAGCCTGCAGCTGTCAAGAACGACGGGGAGACACATTTGGCCGGGTGATGTAGGTTTGCGGAAATTTGACGTAAAGGGCGCTGCAATGATTGCCAAGCCCATTCCAGGAGGTGACGACACGTATACAGATTAGGAACAACAGGAGGAATAAATATGACGTGAGATAATTTTTTCACCTCTCCGTCAAATTTTTAATGAAATTCAAATAAATTATACGTTTAGAAAAAGGTCAAACCTGCAGCTATGGCATCTAGAATAGGATTTTAATGAAAAAAAATATACTTTTATAATAGCCGCACCTTGTTTAGCTTTTCATGATAAAAATAGGAGTGTTTTTTAGGTATGTCTCATGGCAATACCGATAAACTTTTCTAGAACTTACTCATGATATAAGCTGCAATATGGTGACATGTAGCACAGTGGCTAACATACTGCGCTACGAGGCTGGCAACCGGAGTTTGATTCTCGGCTAGAGCTAACACCAGAGGTGAGCCATGTCTCGCTCTCGCTCGCTCCACCAACTTACACTGGCTTTTTATTTCTTCTGGAACGCAGTTGTTTTTGGTCTGATTTCTATTTGCTTGTTTCTTTGCTTTTGCTTTCATATGTTTCGTGACGCAGCGCACTCTTTAAACTTTGACTTTTAAGGGCATCTTCAGTTCTCACCCAGCTTAACAAAATAAGCTTAAAACTTGAAACTGACCAGCGTATGGTCAAACAACCTCTATGATTGATACAGCATGCCAAGGCCTGCATCTCGAGGTAAAATGACACAGGTCTTTAAATAATTGTTGTTATGCTGACCAGGGGAACTTAGATGTGAGACAGATTCTGCATTCTGGACATCACATCCCACTAAATGCATGTGCCTTCAGAGAATATACATGCATACGCCGTGCATGCACTGTAGCCTTTCCCTCATCTGATAATTGCTTGACATAAAACGCATCGAAATCCACAAGGGTTGGAGCTCCTGTGATAGTTTTGTGTGAATAA